TTAAGTTCAAAAACACAAACAAAACTACACTTAACAAATGGCTATGAACTGAGTTTGTAATTTGATGAAAAGTAAATGGGGTGGGGGAGGGAAGACTGCTAGGTATACATCTAAAGGGAAAACTTGTAAAGTCATAGTCTCCCCAAATACCTAGAATTCAGAGCCTTTACAACTATAATTGATTTCCTACTAATTCACAGCAGATACAAGATCTATTTCTCTGCATTTTTACAGGTTTACTACTAAATTGCAGCTTTTATCAGTTCTGCAGGTGACCTCATTTTGAGAAATGACAAGGGCTATAAACACAGTACAAAAGTGCTAACAAACTCTGAAGTCAGCCACGTCACCAATATCTTTTGCCATCATCAGGGCAAATGGTGTCTTTGTTAGTTACTATTTTCTGTAAAACACAAAAAGACACATTCATCAGAAAATTTAACTTTCCTGATGCCTTGCCAGGACTATGGTGGGCTGGAAAAACAAATACGAATTAGAGCATTGTATCTAACTGTGGTATGGTGAATAATTTCCAGAGTGATACATATATAGGTCCTTGAGTAGTGACCTACTAAACTCTGTTAATAAAGCATATTAAGCCTATGGCTCTTTGTTTCTTAATATCTGATAGGTTCCTCACTCCTTGTAGTGATACAGATTCCCAAACCCTAGGTTTGCTTTCAGAAATAACTACAGATGCAAGAAAGGTGCTATCTACATAACTTCAAATTGTACTACTTGTTTGTGGACTTGATTGCAAAAGTCATGAAAGTAAATCTGAACTTAGTTGAAATATTCATTACCAGAACTTTTTTACCACCTCTTTATGTTCTACCCCTATCTTAACGTATCTAGCTATTTTTGCTAATTATCTACTACTTACAACTAGTTTCATTGACTAAAAAGTCTTGATAAGAGCAGTTAAGTCCATGACTGTGTTTATATAGATTGTTTCAAGAGATAATAAGTTTAAATTTTTCTCTGATATATGCTAGACAAAATAATAAAAACCTGTTCAAAGCATTGCAGCTAAATTTAATCCACATCAAGCAAGACAACACAACATTGCTATTCAGATTATATGTCATTGACAATTTCCATTTTCATTCTCTTCCCTGTTTGTTGTAGATGTGTCCCTGGTTATTACTACATTCAAATGCTTTGTGGGAATTTTCTTTGTTAGAACAAGTTGCTGGATTTAACAAGATGTAGTACCAATTGTGATTTAAAAAAAATACTCTCGGCAATTTAGAATTGAAGGTACATACTGCAAGATAATAGAAAACATATGCATGACAAATGCTCAGCTAACACCATACTTAGTTGTAAAATAACAGAAAGCTTGATTCCTAAGATTAAGCTAAAATAAGTATTTCATCTTTACCACTACCATTCAATTTAGCCTTGAAGATCTAGTCTGAGCAATATAGGCAGAGAAAATATTCAAGAAATCCAAATGAGAAAAAAAAATTGTTATTATTTATTATAGCATGCATATAAATGCATATTGAAACAAAAAGGCCACAATCACACAAAAAGGTAAAGTGATCTCGAAAGAAAAGATGAAAAATGGTGACATTATCTTGGCTTCAAACTGTTTCACAAAACAATAGTAATTAAAACAATATGGTATGTGAACCAACAAAACAAATGTTATATAATAGAGTAGAAAATAAACTCTCATGGATAAACTATTATTTTATTTATTTTTATTGGGGTAACACAGTTTCAAATTATATATTTTATAATTAGAACTATATATTTTAAATTATAAATTTTATATTTACGTTTGAGGCATCCAATGTTAATATACTCCCCCTACCCCACCGAAGTAACCACATCCCTCCACCACTGTCCATAGATTCTTATTATTCCCACCCTAATGCCCCCCCTCCGACACACCTTGGTAAACACAGTTTACCAAGTTGGCAGTATTTTAAGGTTTGCTTTCACTGGACATTGTGTATTCCCTTAATTTGAAATGCTATTCCAATATTTGTCTTTCTCTTTCTGATTTGCTTTACTTAACATGACCCTTCCGGCTCCATCTCAGTTGTAGTGAAATTCAGAGTTACTTATTTTCATAGATCGGAGAAGGATTTCATTGTATACGTACATATCATTATGTCTTTCTCACTTATCTGTCGTTGGGTACTTAGGTTGCTTCCAGATCTTGGCTATTGTAAATAGTGCTGTGATGAACACATTGTTGCCAATGAGGGTTTGTCTTGTACCTGCCAATACTGATGGTTTCCAGTCTTTTTTATGTAGAACATTCTCAATGGTGTGACATAACATGTCACTGTTGCATTTCCCTTATCATATGTGATGATGAACACTTCTTCATGTGCTTGTTAGCTATATGCATGTTTTCCTTGATAAGTGTCTGTTCAGCTCTTCTCCCAATTTTTTGATGAAGTTGGTTTTTTTACTTAACTTTTCTGAGTGATCTGTATAACTTTGTCAGATGTATGGTGTGCAAATATGTTCTTCCATTTAGTAGGATCTCTTTATCTTATCCATGATTTATTTCACAGTGAATAACTTTTTATTTTGATGTTATCCCATTTGTTTCTTTTATTTTCTTTTGTCAAATCATTGAAGATAATTTGAAAGTCAAATCATGGGTTGTTCTGCCTGTTGTTTCCTCAGTATATTTTATGAATTCCAGTCTATTTGACGTCTACAGTCCATTTTAAATATACTCTTGTATATTCTTAATTTACTCTAATGATTTAGTTGAATCACTGCCTGTAACTGACCAGTTTCTCCAACACTATTGGATAAAGATATTTTCCTTCTTCCATTTTATGTTCTTGGCTCCTCTGTCAGAACTAAATTTTCCATGTATTTTTGAATTTAGTTCCAGGCTTTTGGTTCTATCCCACTATTTTGTGAGTTAGTTTTTATTCCATTGCCAAGTTATGTTGATTATTATAATTTGGTGGTTCAGTATAAAATTAGGATATGTAATGCTCCCATATTCTTTTTGCTCAGAATTATTCTTAGTACTTAAGAAATTGTATGGTTCCATACAAATATAAATTAAACAGTTCTGGGGATGTATTTCAAGTCACTTTGTATTGATTCCTGGCACATCATGTCCCAGTACCAAGAGTAACCTGTCTGTAAAACCTCATTTGAAGGGGGGCGTTTCGGTCCGCCCTTCACGCCCTACCGAGGCCACCAGTTGCCCCCCACGAGCGGCACTCCAGCACGGCCACGACTCCAGAGCACAGAAACCAATTTCTTAACTATCTGACTTTCAGTAGAAATACTTCCAGGGTCAATAAGTAAAATAGCAGAAATCCAAAACCAACATTTAATTCTTGAACCCAGCTGTAGAAAGCAAATCACTTCACAATGCTTTTTCAGCATGTCTGATTTGGGGGGGGGGGGGGGTAAACTCTAAATAATAGTGGTGAATCTTTTACTGAAACAATGAATCTAATCAAAGCAGATAGAGTGTTAACTAGAATTCATCTGCCTCACAGGGACGGGGAGGGGTGGGGGGTGGGGTCTTATTGGGGTTCTTCATGGTAAAAAATAAGTATTGGTAAAGGGAAATGTGTTTGATATTTGCATGACTGAGACCTAAACCTGAAAGCTTTGTAACCTTTCCCACAGTGATTCAATAAATAAATAAATTAAAAAAAAAAAGAGTAACCTGTCTGAGCACCAGGACACTGAACACAGCTGAGAATACCTACCCTAATCTAAAGAATAAAATTTTTTTTTTTGCTTTTTGGGTCACACCCAATGATGTACAGGCATTACTCCTGGTTCATGCACTCAGGAATTACTCCTGACCATGCTCTGGGGACCATATGGGATGTTGGGAACTGAATTCGGGTCGGGCCGCGTGCAAGGCAAACACCCTACCCACATTGCTATCACTCCAGCCCCCAAAGGAATAAAATTCTATATGAAAGTTCCCTCCATTCCCTTCCAACTTTCCTCTTTCCTATGATATATATATACATATATATATATAGCTTTATGACTATCTTTCCAGTTCTCTTTCTATGTGTTTGCATTTACCTTTATGTATACATAACATATGGGTTGGGATTTTAAAATCATAAATGTTATAACATTATATGAAATATATAATTTTTATTTAAAAGTAGATCTTGAATCTTTAAATACAACTATGCAAAGGTTTATTTGCTTTCTTTAAATATTTCATGTTATTTGATATGAATATACCAAATTTAACCATGCTCATGAAAAGGGCATTTTATTTTAAAACATGTGAATAATGAAGTGAACTGGAAGTATCACTAGGGCAGGGAAAAGGTCTAGGGCATGGTGGTGGTGGTAAAGTGAGGTGATAATATATACTGAAGCCATAACAGTCATTCATCAAATAATGAGGAGATGGGAGGGAGAAGAATTGAATCAGAGGTGAGAGAAGGACAGAGGTGGAGAGGTGGAGGGTCATAGGCACTTTGTTCTAGTCACTTTGTGCAACAGACTATAAATTTAAGCCCTACTCCAGGCTGGAGAGATAGCACAGCGGGTAGGGCGTTTGCCTTGCATGCGGCTGACCTGAGTTCGATCCCAGCATCCCATATGGTGCCCCGAGCACTGCCAAGAGTTATTTCTGAATGCATGAGCCAGGAGTAACCCCTGTGTATCCCCGGGTGTGACCCAAAAAGCTAAAAAAAGTTAAGCACTACTGTATAACTTTATTAAATAAAACCAAAAAAATGTAAATTAAAATAATTAGTGACCCTCTGGGGCTGGAGCGATAGCACAGCAGGTAGGGCATTTGCCTTGCACGCGGCCAACCTGGTTTGATTCCCAGCATCCCATATGGTCCCCTGAGCACCACCATGGGTAATTCCTGAGTGCAGAGACAGGAGTAATCCCTATGCATCACCAGGTGTGACCCAAAAAGCCAAAAAAAAATTACTGACCCTCAAGAAAAAATTAAATATTTGGAAGCCAAACATAAAATATAACATTTTCAAAGGTATACTTTATTCTATTTACAGGTTCTGTGGAGAGAGTAAAAAAAATCCGAGACTATGCTTTTGTGCACTTTAGTAACCGAGAAGATGCAATTGAGGCTATGAAAGCTTTAAATGGGAAGGTAAGGTAGGACTAAGAAATATATGAACTGATCAAAGTTAATGTTAGAATTTTATTTCAAAGAAAAAGTTTGTCTTGTCTATCTAGGCTGCAAGTCTATCTCTCCCAGGCTTTCTCCGTCTCTTACCAAAGCATCAAAAGGTATAAATAAATAATATACCCAAAGCACAGACCCAACAATACCTAAACATGAGATCTAAGCTACAACCACTGAATTTTGCAGTGTGCCTGTCTAGGTGGCGTGTGGGGCTAGGGGATGGAGGTGGGGGCAATGGAGGATGAAGGGAAGCATGGTGGAATGGAGTATAGTGGTAGGATTAGCACTGTCTAGCACTGTCCTCATCGATTTGCTCGAGCAGGACCAGTAACATCTCCATTGTGAGACTTATTGTTACTGTGTTTGGCATATTGAATACATCATGGGTAGCTTGCCAGGCTCTGCCATGCGGGCAAGATATTCTTGGTAGCTTGCTGGGCTCTCTGAGAGGGGTGGAGGAATCGAAACTAGCTCGGCCGGGCCAGCGGCTTGCAAGGCAAACGCCCCACCACTGTGCTATCGTTCCAGCCGATCTGGCTAGTGGTAGGATTGGTGTTGAAATATTATATGCTTAAAACTCAACTATCAATAACTTATAAATCACTGATTAAATAGTTAAATAAAAATTATTTAGTTCTCGAATTAAATTTTTTATTATTTTTTTTAATTTAAAGGTATAAGGAAATACAAAGATACCCAAAGGTACCTGTTATTAAATAAACTGTACCTGAGGACAGTTTATTTAATAGCCTGACAAATTCCCCTTTCTTGTGTAGCGAGAGCCTTATTGTTATTTTTGGTGGGGTGGTGGGAGGAGTTATTGTGATTGGGTTTTTGTTTCACACCCACTGATGCTCAACTCAGTGCTCAGAAATTATTCCCAGTGATGTTCAGGGACCCTTAAAGTGCCAGGAAATTAACAGAATTACGGCATGCAAAGTCTATACTCCAGTCCCTTGGACTATCTTCTCTAGCTCCATTTTTAAGCCTCTCTTTACAGGTAAAAACTTTTCTATTGTGTAAATGCACTAAGAAACAACGTTTTTAAAGGATCACTAGGCTGCCCATGCTAAAGTGTGAATTATTGATAGCAATTGATAATGGTGTTTCCTTTCACCATCATTGATAGTGATGATCAATAAATAGTAGAAATTGTATTACAACCTATTTGACCTAACGTTTCTGAGAATCACATTAAAATGCTATTAAAAGCAGACACGTGACATTAACAATAGAACATAGCTCTCCAGCTTAGTGATTTATTTGGAAAGTAAATTTATAAGCAAAACATTAATGGAGAGTGGACAATTTTTCACCGTCAAACTTAGTGGAAGATTAGGGGCAATACCCCACAAAAATAGCTCTGGGAACATTTAATAAACAGAAACCTGTAGTCATAAGTACGTATACATATAAATATAATACACAGAAGTGAAGCAAATCAGTATACATAGAGGAAAATAAGAAACTACCAAGAAGTAGATATTGTCTTCATAGGTTGTCTTCACAGTTCTCCACTAGATGTTATTTTCCCCTTACTCTCTATAACAGGTGCTGGATGGTTCTCCCATTGAAGTGACGCTAGCCAAACCAGTGGACAAGGACAGTTATGTTAGGTACACCCGTGGCACAGGCGGAAGGGGTACCATGCTGCAGGGAGAATACACCTATTCATTGGGCCACGTCTATGATCCCACCACAGCCTACCTTGGAGCTCCTGTCTTCTATGCCCCCCAGCCCTATGCGGCAATTCCCAGCCTTCACTTCCCAGCCACCAAAGGACATCTTGGCAACAGGGCTATTATCCGAACCCCTTCTGTTCGAGGTAACACAGCCAGAGCTTGTATGACAATAACTAAAATTTCAAATAATTTGTATTGCAGTAGCCTTAGGAAGTCTGGATGGGTACACTGCGAGAAAGAGGACTGAAAATTGTTCATTAAAAATCAAATATTTTATCAGTAGTTTTCCTTCCATAGGGAAATTTTTTCACATTACAACTGGTTATTGAAGAAAACTTGATCAGAACAGATAAAAAAGAGTTGAATGCAAACATTTGTCTGTGCTTGAGCCCATAAAAATTGCAGAAACTAAAACTTAGTTGCACAATTGTTCACATCTCCCTTATCTTTAGACCACCATATTGCAGTCACCTGTGACTCATTATAAAACTTTCAAGTGAGAACAGCAAGGAATCTAATTATCTCAAGTAACAAGAACATTTCCAGGAACATGTGTATTTCAGGGAAATTCAATGCATCTTCTTTATATATAAATCACAAATTATCACAAATATGTTATAACACATAGGAACTGTTCTCATCTGACCTTCCTCAAGAAATATGTGCTATGCCTTCTAAATAGCAATTCTATTAAGTCAATGAACTAATGTTTTCCAAGATACGGAGAATTAAATGTAAAATTCAAATAGAAAAAAATCTGATTGCCAAATAATAAATCTTTCCTGTTGAAGGCTGTAAGAATTCCAAATACTCAAACATATTTTCTGAATTCTGCTCATTCTAAATGTTTGAAAGATAAAGTACTTTCATTTCTAAGAAAATAATTTTTCTCTGCTTATGGAATCCTCCAGAGTAGTTATTCTAGAATGAGGCGATTGTCACTAGAATCCCAGTAAATCATCTCAATATGACACCAAATGGGAAAATGGACAACATACTATATATGCAAATACATTCCTTTATTTATATTAGAAGCAAGAAATATGTCCAAACTATTGTGGAAGCAATTATATTGCTGTTTTATTATTTTTCAGAATTAAACTGATCAACCTAGAAGTTATATCTTCAATAGCCTTAAAAGTTCCATATTCATAATACAATCATTAAGTCAAAATTATAATGCAAAATTTATCATAAGAATTTCATTCAGTATCTTTCTATTTAAAAAATATTATATCATCAAAAAAGTAAAATTAAACAGCAAATCATTAAATAATCTATACATTTAAAACAAGTTGTCAGCCAGTTGTAATGTACAAAAAAAAAGATTCACTACGGTGGAGGAGGGAAATGCCTCTCATAAGAAAGGAATCAGTAAGTGATAAAAGGTAATTAATTTAATTCTATTATATTGTCATGCCTTCAATAGAAAATCAAAGTTTCAATATGACAAAACAAAATCAAAAGGAATCTATTAATGAAACTCAATGGAAATTTAAGCTGCATATTGACAGAACACAGGAGAAACGGTAAATCAAAATCACAAGTTTTCTTAGTGTTCGTTTTCCAGCAGGTCAGGAATAAGATCGAATGCACGGTCTGATCTTCGGGCAGTTTGAATGCATTTATAATTTACTTAACCATAACAAAAATAGGTAAATTTTATTATAATTCATGTGGTTATGTTAGGCTGGATGTTTGAATTGATATCTTCCCAACTTTGATTAGTCTACAGAGAAATGTCAGCAAAAGGCTGACGGAAAGTAGGAATTGTAAAATTTTTCTCTATACTGAAGTTTTATAGTTGCTTACATATTTAATAGCTTTTATGATGTTGTATCTTCCATTGATAGTTTTGGTTTGGGTATTTTTTTCAGTGACAGCCGTAGTGAACCTGCCTTACATTGAGTTTCATTACATTAGAATCCTAGAGTTTTTCTATCTTCAGGGCAACAATCAATGTGACTTGGGCTAACTTTTCCATTACAGTAAGATTCAGGGTGATTTTCTGGTGGTTTGATTCAGTTTAATGCCTTCTTACATTCCTAGAAATTTACATGAATGTACCTGTAGGGGCCGCGGGAGTGAGAGGACTGGGAGGCCGTGGCTATTTGGCATATACAGGCCTGGGTCGTGGATACCAGGTCAAAGGAGACAAGAGAGAAGACAAACTCTATGACCTTCTACCTGGAATGGAACTCACCCCAATGAACCCTATCACTTTAAAACCCCAAGGAATTAAACTTGCTCCCCAGGTAAGTAATTTTCCTTTGAATCAGATCAAAGAACATCATTGACCTTTCATCAAATAATTTGACTTGATCTCTACTTGGGCTCTTGTTTTCTTTTGTTAACTAGACAAAGTGTCCAATCAATGTAATGTGTTGTGAGAAAAGGTTGGACACTGAGTGCTATTGCTTTTTTATAGATTCTTCCTTTGTTTTTAATTGTAAAGTTTAATGTAACACCTTAAATAATAGTCCTCTAAAACGCAAAAACCCTGGGAGATTTTAAGAATAATGCATTTGGGGGTAAGTCACTTGCCTCTTTTTGCTCCTACCTCTAGTTTGATAAGCATCTGCATAACAAATAGTTCCCCAAACACTACTGGAAATAATCCCTGAGCACAGAGCCAGGAGTGAATGCAGAGCACAGTGGGACATGGTCCAACATGACCCCCCAAAAAATTATTACCCATCTTTTTAAAGAAATACCATTTATCTACTAATACCTGACATGAAAGTAGTATGAGGCAAAGACCTTAGCTCAGAATAAACACATCTGGTTGGTTAACAAATAAAGAATAGTCATGATGGGGAAAATTAGACCATGTATGGCAACTTTTCTGTGGAAACACTGTTTAAGAGTAAATGAAATGTTATCTATGGCAATATTATTTCTCATATTAACTATCAGACATATAAAATTAAGTCTTTTAAAGGGATTACATTTGTGCAGTGATGTCATGATGAGCTTTTATTACTTTCATTCCACAATACTAACTGTCCATGTTTCTGAGTGAAGTTGTGGTTTTTACTACTGGAAAAAATAAAAGTTGTTCCAGTATGGAAAATAGCAGGGTAAAAAATTAATCCAAACAGATTCTGTTGAGGTATGCTTTGTGGCCCAGTGCATGGTCTATTCCTATGTTCATTGCTGCACTATTCACAATAGCCAAAATTTGGAAAAAACCTGAGTGCCCAAGAAAAGATGACTGGTTAAAGAAACTTTGGTACATCTATAAAATGGAATACTGTGCAGCTGTTGGGAAAGATGAAGTCAGGAAATTTACATACAAGTGGTACTACATGGAAAGTGTCATGCTAAAGTGAAATGAGTCAGAAAGAGAGGGACAGACATAGAAAGATTACACTCATCTGGGGAATATAAAGTAACAAATAGGAGACTAACATCCAAGAATAGTCGAGATAAGTTACAGGAGGTTTACTCCCTGGCTTGAAGGCCAGCTGCACATGCAAGGGGAAAGGGTAGCTCAGACAGAGAAGGGAACACCACAAAAAGGGTGTTGGGATGATCCTCCCAGGATGGGAGATGCATGCTGAAAGTAGACTATAGACCGAACATGTTTGCCATTCAATGCCTCTTTTGCAAACCTCAGCAACCAAAAGGAGAAAACAAAACGAAATGCCCTGCCACAGATGTGGGATGGGATGTGGGGGGGGGATGGAGAGTTACTGAGATCATTGGTGGTGGAGAATGGGCACTGGTGAGGGATGGGTACTTGATCATTGTATAACTGAAACCCAAGTACAAAAACTTGTAAGGTCAACAACTGTACCTCATGGTGTTTCACTAATAAAAAAAATAAATGAATAAAGTACATTAAAGAACTCAAAAAAATAAAATAAAGAAACTTTGGTACATCTACACAATGGAATATTATGCAGCTGTCAGAAAAGATGAAGTTATGAAATTTACATACAAGTGGTTCTACATGGAAAGTATCATGCTAAGTGAAGTGAACCAGAGATGGACAGACATAGAAAGACTGCACTCATCTGGGGAATATAAAGTAACAGAATGGGAGAAGAACACCCAAGAATAGTTGAGATAAGTACCAGGAGGACTGCTCCATGGCTTGGAATCTGGCAATACATGATGGGGAAAAGGCAGCTCAGAGAAAGAAGGGAGCACCAAGTAAAGGGTATTTGGAGGAGTTGCTCAGAATGCAAGATGTGTGCTGAAAGTAGACTATAGACCGAACACAATGGGCATTCAATGCATCTATTGCAAACTACAAGACACTGAAGGAAAGAGTGAGAAAAAGGGAATGCCCTGCCACAGAGGCAGAGTGGTTTGTGGAGGGATGGAGTGTGGAGTTGGGAGGGCTACTAGGATGATTGGTGGTGGAGAATAGGTACTGGTGGAGGGATGGGTACTCAATCATTGTATAACTGAAACCCAAGCATGAAAATTTGTAAGTCTACAACTGTACCTCATGGCATTTCACTAATAATTAAAAAAAAAGAATTAAAACAGGATTGAGGTTGACCCTTACAGGGCTCTCAGTAAATATGTAGTGTTTCCAGAGACACTTTGACTATATAGTTGAATATATTTGCTCAGTCTGAGTCTGTGTATCTTAAAGACACATCCCTATTCTAATATCAGATTTAAAGAGTAGGCTTATGATATCAAACATGTAGAAAACTTAGTTTTCTAAAAATAAATCTTGTTTCTCTTTTTATAGATAAATATTTGTCACATATATTAGTTCATCTAAGGGTTCAGTTACCCTGACAATTAAAACATTCACACTAGTAAACAGCAACCATTGGTTGAAACACCATGTATTGGGTATCTGTCTTTCACCAATATGCAGCCTGATGAGAAGATACCCACACACAAACAGAATTATAATAGGACCTGCTAAAATACTATTATGGATCTTTGCTCTGAAAAAAAAACAAGAACATGGGTATTTAAATTAAATAATTCATCTATCTTGGGTAAAAATCCAAAACAAGGAACTTAAAGTATAGAAATATCTAAATTTCATTTAAGAAAGTAAAAATTAGTAATTGTAAAATCTGCATTTCTTACAGTTCTAGGAGTTGTAATACTATGAGTAATGATCTTTGCTTTTGATATAACTGCATGTTAAAAATGGGTCATGAGGGACTGGGCTGTCTCTGCATATGCACCCCAGGCCTCCTCCAGAATCCTGGGACGCTCACCATCCCTGAGCCTCTTCCTGTCCATCACCAACGCTGTGCCAGGTCTTCTTCCACCCCCAGGGTGTACCCCCACACACATAGAAACACCAGGTAGGGGGTGTGGCCTCTTCAGAAATGGGCGTGGCTTCTATAGAAGTGGGCACTGCCTAATTTGGGGCCAGTGGACACTCACGAGGCCGAGGTAATTTACTCATACACAGCAATCTCGTGGAACATCTCAGTCTCCGTACCTCCACAACAACATGAAAAAAAAAAAGCAAATCCCCACCAGGAGGGGAGGATGGTAAAAAGAGTCCAGAAGCCTCAGTAGGTACTACTCACCTAAGGGACCTCTCTGAGAAAGAATTCAGATACAAAGTAATGAAGATGTTCAATGAATTCAATCAAACAGTGAGACAGATATCCAGTAAATTAAAGGAGGACAGGAGAGAAACAATCGAGAAAATACAGGAAGAAATGAGAGTAGAAATTGGAAAGCTACACACAGAAATGTCACAAATAAAAGATTTGGTAGATGAAATAAAAAACTCCGTCTCTGCCCTTAACAGTAGGATGGCCACAGCTGAAGACAAAATCAGTGAGCTGGAAGATCAGCTGCACGAAGCCTACAGGCAACAACCAAAAAATGGCAAGAGACCTCAAAATAGCTCTAGAGCGAATCAGAGTCCTAGGAGATGATTCCAAGAGGAACAAGATTAGAATCATTGGAGTACCAGAAGTTCAGGGAAACAGTCCCAATGAAAAAGCCACGGTTAAACAAATCATTGCTGAAAAGTTCCCAGAGATGGACAATGCAGCCTTTCAGATTCAAGGAGCCCGAAGAGTGCCAACTAAAAGAGACCCTCACAAAAACACTCTAAGACATATCATAGTTAGAATGATGGATGCTGTGGATAGAGACAGAATACTGCAAGCAGCAAGGTCAAAGAAGGAAATCACATACAAAGGAGCACCCCTTAGAGTCACAGCAGACCTATCAGAGGAAACCCTTCAAGCCCGAAGGCAATGGTGAGATATTGTGAAAAAACTCCCTGAAATGAATGCTTCACCAAAAATACTCTATCAGACTAACCTCTCACTCAAACTCGAAGGAACAGTACACTATTTTCTGGATAAACAGCAGCTCAGGAACTTCATAGACTCAAAACCAAACCTAAAAGAAGGGCTAAAAGGGCTACTATAGACAAGACAAACCCTACAAGCACAACAAACCTTTACAGAAAGAGGACACAAAACCCCATAACAATAATCTCTCTCAATGGCAATGGTCTAAATTCAACAATTAAGAGATAGAGTGGCAAAATGGATTCAGAGACAGAACACAACATTCTGCTGCCTACAAGAAACTCACCTGAACAGTCAGAGCAAACACAGACCCAAAGTTAAAGGATGAAAAACAATCCTGCAAGCAAACTACTCATTCACTCAAAAAAGCTGGGGTGGTGGCTGGAGCAATAGCACAGAGGGTAGACCATTTGCCTTGCACGTGACCAACCCAGGTTCAATTCTCAGCATCCTATATGGTCCCCTGAGCACCGCCAGGGGTAATTCCTGAGTACAGGGCCAGGAGTAAACCCTGTGCATTGTGATTTGCCTCTAGTTTTCTATAACTATGGAATAGAAAAATAAAGATCATGCCACTTCCCTCAACATAGAGTCTTAAAAGTGCCAGAGTAAAATTATGAACTTCCAACTATGAGCCAAGGGACAAGTACTGCTCTACACAGTCTGTAGAGTCTATACTCCTTCTGTATGAGTTTGTACAACAGGAATTATCAAATAAACAAAATATATGCCTGTTAAGTTTGCATTTACTAGCTAAATTACTGATGCCCAGAAAACTCGGAGAATGCATTGTAGACGACAACATGTGATGAACATTTAAAAAAACACTAACAGAAAACAGAGAGGAGCAGCCTCTGCTCCTCTCTGTTTAAAAATTATCAAAATTAAAAATTTCCAGTTTTAATAAACTGGAAAAATGCTCTGATAGCTGGATTACTATTAGAACAAATGAGGTAAGAAGTGCCACTGATTCATCCCTGGGCAGTTCTCTGTTCCACAGAGTTATTTTTTCAAACTTATGCCCTGTTTTGCTCAGTTTCCTAAATCTATTGACTAATGGAATTATTAGAGCTTGTGGGCCACCCAAAATAACTTTAGAATAAAGAAAACATGTGCCTGTAGCAAAGATTCCACTTGGACTAGTAATTCAGGAAGATGCTAAAAATCAGATAATTGTAGGAATAGCCAGAAGTAGTATTTCACAAAACGAAGGAATTAACACTATAATACCCATTTATAAGTGCTTGACAGTAAACATCATAAACTTTTAAATTCTTTATAAAAATTGAAATTATAATGATGACAAATGGCATAAAATAATATGTTCTTAGATCATCATCTTAAACCATTTATAAACAGAAGATCTGGGAATAATAATGAATAATCCACTCACACTGCAGTAGGGTACCAAGTTTTAATAAATATATCAAATGAATCATAAAATTAAACTCTTGGTAAAAGTTACATCTAATGGATTAAACCCAAAGCACATTAGGGCAAATGGTGTGAGAACAATTTTTACGAATTAATGAACATAACATTTTAAATGGAGTTCAAATGGAGTTCATCTTAAATGTTATGAATCATTAAGCCACGTGGCATTTTATATCTTCTCAACTGAAGATGAGAGTTTAAATGACTGAAGAAATAGTGCAAATGTGATATTTGAAGGAAAATTACTCTTTTTTAACTTTTATAGATATTAGAAGAATTTTGTCAAAAAAATAACTGGGGACAGCCAGTATATCAGCTACACTCTGCTATTGGACAAGACCAAAGACAGCTATTCTTATACAAAATAACTATTCCTGCTCTGGCCAGCCAGAATCCTGCAATGTACGTAATTTAACCTAAATTCCTAATAATTTTGATATATTTTATCACTATCTCAGCAAGATAAACATTGAAGTCTACCACCAGGTCATTCTTCCTCAAGCGAAAATACTGATGTGTTGTTACTGGCATAAAAGCCCCCAAATTACATATCAACAATGAGTATTCTAGATTATAATAAATAAATGGAAGCTGCAGGTGTAAAATTAAGTAAAATTGGAAGAGAAATAAAAATAACAATATACCATTTTCATCTCTAGAGTAATTTGAATCATAGGAAGTTTCTACAGAACACCATGCCTATTATGCAAATTTTGGACCAAATCTTTGTCCTTTCATTTAATTGATATGGCCCTCTGAATTTTGCTTTCACTTTACAATTCTAGACAGTATAGGAATCATTATGATTACATGTACTTTAGAAAAGTCATGCATAGAAATTAGTTACAAGAATGCTCCCAATTTCATAAAACAGGAATGTTCTAGGTGAATTCATAAATGTTCCTACCTACATATACCTTCTGAAGCTTCAATGACAAATGTTACCCAAAGACGCACACGCAAAATTCCATTATTTGCTCATCATTAAAAGCTAAGTTTTCAGGTGTTTCTGTAGCACGGGCTTAAAATCCTGTACTGACTGACTGTGCTTTCCAGACATCCTTTCACACCTCCAAAACTAAGTGCCTATGTGGATGAAGCAAAGACATATGCAGCTGAGTACACTCTGCAGAGCCTGGGCATCCCCACAGATGGGACCGAAGCTCCCACTGCAGCTGCTGCTGTCGCTTCTGCTACTGCTTTTCCAGGTATGGAGAATGTGTGCTCAAAATGGCACCCTGCAGAGAGTGTTTGGAAAGGCCTCCTTGGTGCCATGGATTCATAGAGTTATTTGTGAACTCCACCTACAATAAATCTGATGTGCACCATCTGTGACCAAAAAGAATGTGCCAGATGAGTAAACCATTAAAGTATGAAGGAAGAGAACTCAGCTAGGCAGCACGAGTGAGGTCTGGTCTGCTCAGCCCTCAACAGCTGTGTGGACTTAAATGAATCCAATTTCCTGTCTCCGGCATGTTTTCTTTTTGCTTTTACCTTTATAAGAGGTTTTGTAAGTACCTATTCATAGCAGTTTACCTGAGCTGTTTGTGCCAGGCCCTTTCCTAAATACTCAGGCCGCTTTCCTTTATGTCAGTGAGGCTTGTGACACTACAGTTGACAGGCGCTGTCATTGTATAGATGACAGCTCTTCTCATTGTATAGATGAAGAAACCAAGTATTGAAATGGTTTGGTAAAGTCCAATAAGCTTTTAAGTGATAGTTAGGATCTACTGGCAATTCTAATTTCTGATTCTACTTTCATTGCTCTCTGAAAGGAGCAATTAGTTGCGCTCTAGAATAAATACACAGAGCAGGGGACTGGAGAGATAGTGGGGCACTTGCCTTGCACAGCCGACCTGTGTTTGATCCTCCGCATCCCATATGGTCCAACTCCCCCGCCCCCCACACACACACACTCACACACACAAGACCCTGAGCCCACCACTTCCTGATTGCAGAGCAAGGAGTGGTCCAAAAACAAAAGCATAAAACTTTAAAAGTAAATGTGTAAAGCACATTCTTCTTTTCTTTTTCTTTTTTTTTTGGGGGGGGCACACCCAGCTGTGCTCAGGCTTATTCCTCTCTTTGTACTCAAGGATCACTACTGGAAATATTGGAAGACCATATGCAGGTTTGAGGATTGAACTTGGGCTGAGTGCATGCAAGACAAACACCTTACCCACTGCACTATGTCTCCGACTTATTAAATTATCTTACATCAGATATTCTGTATGTGGGTGGGAAAAACAGAGGGAGAGGGAGAGAGATCCTTTCAATATGCGTATAATCCAACCTCATTTCATCTATTCAATGATTTTGTTTTTAGTTTGGGGCCAAACCCAGGCTGACTCCCATTTCTGTGCTCAGAGATCACTCCTAGAAGTGCTCTGGGCACCAAGTGGTGTGCCTGGGATTAAACCCAATTTTGCTGCATGTAAGGCAAGTGCCTCAGTGCTGTAATATCTCTCTAGCCCCTTATCTGTTCTATAATTTCTATCTGAAACCTGTGATGGTTGCTCAAAATAAAACTATTCTGTTGCTCACACATGCCTTCAGAATCACATTTAAAAAACTTCCCAGTATACTATGTACTAAGGACAAATTATTAAAAATGTATTCTCTTGGGGCTGGAACCAAGAGTGCTTGCTTTGCATGGGGCCGACCTGGGCTCCATCCCCACCATCCCATATGGTCCCATGAGCACTGCCAGGTGTGATTCTTAAGTAACCCATGAGCACTGACAGGTTTGGCCAAATAACAACAACAAAGCTTATTCTCTAGAGATAAAAGTGTACCAGACAAAAATTTTCTCTTATCATCAGAATAATATATCCTTCTTATTAATAAAATTCCCTTATTTTATTTAAATTATTAAAATTAGAGTTTAGGAGAAATGGTTACCATAGTGTTAACATTTTTGGTAGAAATGTACAAAATCACCACACACCACCAACACTGAAGTCACCATCACTGTCCTTAAGTCACCTCCGGTTCAATGATTTCTTTTTTTTTTAATTTTATTGAATCACTGTGAGATAGTTACAAGCTTTCATGTTTAGGTTATAATCAACCATAATGCCCAAAAGCAGAGAGAGAATATGGGTCAATCACTTCATCTGAAAAAAAGTCAATCTGTCTTGAGTTAACATACTTCTCATAGCCCTAATCAAAATTGGCCTGAACCTAGAGATACATCATTCTCTCAATGGATTAATTCATATATTGTCATGTTCCAGTGTGAAAACCATGTTCTTCATATTCATATATCTGGAGTTATTCTCATTTTCTTGCATTTCTCATTATTTGCTAATACGTCCTCCAATCTGCCACTTGAGGCTGAAATTAATCATACTCATGTGTAATGGACTGCAATTCAGCTTTGTCTCTCTGTGGAAAGTTGAGAAGACGGTGTGCCCCTGAGATTACCAAGAAAACCAACAGCTTCCATTACAGAAGGCAAGGTGGCCTCTGGGCAATGCTGAGGCTATTAAGCCTAGTGTTTACTTTCCATAAAGTAGGGTGTTAATGTGTTTGTCTACTGGGACTTGAATCAGACCACTCAGTTCTTGGAGAAAATTGAGCCCATGTCTTGCAGAAAACTGTACTTAAATAACAAACTATAAAAATAAATAACTGCTGTCGGGAGAATTTAAAGTTCACAGTCTTTTCAAACTGGAAAGAATTTATTCAAGAATATTTTATCTTCTAATTTTTCTTTGCTCTTGGAAGAAGTTAAAAATATTTAGGGCATGAGAGTTGTTTGGGGACTACCTAAGTATTTGAGAACCTCTCAATGGCTTTGCTCTAGAATTAAGCATAGAGTAATAGATTCCAAAAGACCAATCTATTTTAAAACACCCAAACTGAAAAAAATTCAAAATCCCTAAAAACACTATCTAGACAATACACACACACACACACACACACACACACACACACATACACACACACACACACACCTACCTTACTTTAGAATCACAGTTGTGAAAACTGAAAGTCAATTGTTAACACAGTTCTCATATATTTGAAAAATATACTAGACTTCACTAGCACAATCAGCATTACCGCCCAAAGTGAACAAGTTGGAATACGAGTCACTTATTTTTTTAATAAAAACAGTCCGGCCAGCTTCCTGCCACCACTTTCTGTAAAACCACCAGAAAGAAATCAATGTGTCTGGGTTTAGGCAGACTTCCATAACACATAAATGAGCTTTTTTCAGTAAGGCCTTCATTTGTGTCCTAAGTATATTTTTTCTCTCTTCATCTTTAGTTGCCATTTTGGAATCATTGCAGAAATATCCCGTGTTAGGTTTCAAAACATTAATGAGAAATACTACTTTTATATAACAGTTGTTATGCTCTCTTCTTCAAGTAAAAATTAATAGACAAGAAGACATAATACTTTTGAGAAAACATATGGATGACTTCTTACCCATTCAAACTCCGGGTAGTGACATGCTTCAATATCTCCAACTACAACAAAGGCAACTTGATTGTGGAATTCTCAGGTTTAAGTGGACAAGCTAGGGATTTGCTGTCATGATGCTATATTGAAAATCAAATCTTGAAATATGTCCCCTCATCTACCCAGTCCCTACATATCCCTCTTGGGGAAACCACTAGTTTTAACCACTGATCTGGGTGGAGTAAAGATTTGTAGCATAATCAGCAATACTCCCAACCCCAATTGAGCCCAATTGAGCCTCAGTCACTTCCTCTCCTTTGTAATTTCTGACAACCTCTGGAAATTTTCTAATTTCAAGCTTGAATCAGCACAGCACCCTGTTATGTTTGTCTCTTAAAACCTTTCTCCAGTATTTCTAGTTCTCAGGTGTGAAGTGATTCAGACACAGAAGGTCAATGTTACTTTGAGAAATACTTCTCTGGAATGTTTAAATGACATTTAAAAAAAAGTTATCACCAAGGGATGGAGCAATAGTACAGTAGGCAGGGCACTTGCCTTGTAGGTGGCCAACCCAGATTCTATCCCCAGCATCCCATAAGGTTCCCCAAGCTCTAACTGCTGTGTGCTCAGCACACCAGGTATGGCCCAAAAAACAAATAATCACTGGCCACCGGGTCAGGGACATAGTACAGGGGCTGAGGTTCTTTTTTGGCGGGGGGTTGGGGGGGAATCACACCCGGCGATGCACAGGGGTTACTCCTGGCTCTGCACTTAGGAATTATTCCTGGCAGTGCTCGGGGGACCATATGAGATGCTGGGAATCGAACCTGGGTTGGCCACATGCACAGCAAACACCCTACCTGCTGTGCTATCGCTCCAGCCCCTGGAGGGCTGAGGTTCTTGACTTGCCTTCTATTGACCTTTACTCAAATCTGCAGAACCACCATCATCACCACCTATGATCTCCAAGCTCTGCCAGGAGTTACTCCTAGGTATAATTATTCCTGAGTACTGCCAAGTGTGAACCAAATCCCCATCCCACAGAAAGAATTACTAAGTCTAGATATGATTTTCCCAAGAACACTTTTAAAGATATATATATATATATATATATATTAACATTTGACTTTAAGAGATATGTTACGTGTTTATCTTCCATAAGGAAGACAATTAGAGAGCAAACAACTTCTTCTTTTGACATCTCCTTGTCTTTCTCTTCCAGGATATGCGGTCCCTAATACCACTGCACCCGTGTCTGCAGCCCAGCTCAAGCAAGCAGTGAACCTTGGCCAAGACTTAACAGCATATACAACATATGAGGTTTACCCCACTTTTGCAGTGACTGCCAGAGGGGATGGATATGGAGCCTTCTGAAGATACCTATCTTTTCATTAAGAATAATATGCACAAAACTCTCTCTACAGAAAACATAAACCTTAAGTTTAGTTACCTAATAATATAATTCCTAAAATAATGGTTTTTCTGAAACGACAGAGTGTATATAAATTGTAGAATCCTTATATGAGGATGTTGCTCCTAGTTAAATCACACATATTTAGGAGCCTGTCATCTAACAAAAATCTACAGTCATTGTCCCCAAAAGTCATTCTTCGATGGTAAATGGGTACCCTAGATATTCTGTTTACAAAACCTGTCATAGTAGAAAGAGATGTTTAGCCAGGAAGACTTAAGAACTGAGCTGCTCTGGGAAGTCATTAAAGACAAAGGGAACGAAGTAAGAACCAGAGTTTTGCACTCTGACTAGCAGATGCTTTTATCACACACACACACACACACACACACACACACACTTTTCAAATCATGTTCCCATTACCCACTGCCTGGAACATGTTCCAAATGATGAACTCAACCTCACTTCACTATGAAAATTCTATTCAGTCAACTGGCCATAGATCAGAATCTTCTTGACCATGGCAACCCCCAAGTATTTTCTAGAAAAAGATGTGTTCTGCGGATACTGATAAAATTAATCAGGACCTATAATTGTATTAACTTATTAACCACATATGTTGTTTCCTAGAACCCCTACTCTCCCCAAGAATCCCACAACAATAAGTCATTCCAATCTGAAGTTCTTTTTCCCCACTTTTAACATTTTTCTTGTCCGTATTAATCTATTATCATTTTTGCTCAACTCTAATATTACAGCTCTAATATTATAGCATATTACTTGTGGTAATTCTTCCTATTTAGCAAATTGACTGAAAGGTCATTTTAAACAAAGAGAAAAGTGAAGACTTGCTTTCATTTCTTTGATATTTTTTTTGTAGCACCCAGGCCACCATCAGTATTCAGGCACTGATTCTCTACCTACTCTTTTTTTTTTTTTTTTTTTGCTTTTTTGGGTCACACTTGGCCGTGCACAGGAGTTACTCCTGGCTCTGCACTCAGGAATTACCCCTGGCGGGACATCAGGAGACCATATGGGATGCTGGGAATTGAACCCGGGTAGGCCATGTGCAAGGCAAATGCCCTACCCGCTGTGCTATTGCTCCAGCCTCCTACCTACTTTTTTTTCACTTTCTGTAAATATCAGGCAGCTTTAACATATCTGAATCCTTTGGTATTGAAACTTCCACAGGAAAACTTTACATTCATCACTGCTGAATAGAAGATGATTCTGTAGATCTTAGTAAGGAAGCTATTTACCAAAATCCTGTCATTTTTAAGCCTCTTCTCCAAGAACATCTGGAGGTGAGAATGATATAAAAACTGAAATATAGAGGAAAAGGAGACATTGATTTCTTTCCATACTTGTAAATGATTACTTTTTGTTTATATATAACTAATCTAAGTATAAATTAATCAAAATCCATTACTGCCCTGATTTCACTAGTGGCTTGATACAGCACTAGAATTTCCATTAGAAAAATCAATTGGCTTTTTTAAGATTCTACATGGTTCAAGAGAAAAATACAAGAGAAATTTCAACTTTTCAATGCAATTCTGTGATCCAAAGTCAAGTCATATTTCAGTCCAAAAAGTTTGATTCTAATAATGATTAAAATCTTTTTTATTCATTTAATTCTAATAAGGTATCAAGGGTTTCAAAATCTCAGCTGAAACTCTGAAAGGCATTAATTTTGTTTCTCATATAACTTGGGCATGGCTCTTAAACCTGACAGCACAGTAGAAACACCTGGATAGCTTTTCAAACTACCAATCAAATCAATTTGATCAGATATTAAGCCAAGTACATAAGAATGTCTTGGAGTCAATCCTGTCATTGGTACTTTTTAAAGATCTTTCTTTGGGGGGTGCACACCTGGTGATGCTCAGGACTTGGTCCTGACTCTGAACTACTATTTTTATTTCCATGATATGCCTTAGCTTTTACTTTATGTCACTTCTGTTAAACAAATATTCCTGCCTAACATGCAAGAAGTATATAGAGATTTTGGTAAACTAACTTCCAAACTTTATTTTAAAATTTTACTTCAATGTAGTAACATCTTTAAATTTTTCTATGACTGAAGAAATATTACCATGGTTAGTGCTTGTCTAGTATGCAGTCAACCAGGGTTTGATCCCCTACATCCTATATGGTTCCCCAAACACTTCCAGAAGTGATTCTTGAATGCAGAGCAAGGAGTTACCTACTTGAGCATCACCTGGTGTGGTCTAAACACCAAAAAATAAATTAATCAAATATTCTGAATTTTCCTAGAACATATTCATAAAATGGCTGTATCTATCAAATCATGTTTACACTTGCCAATGATGAATGGCAATTCTTCATTGCAGCAAAGCAAGGCTTGCTCTAGGGAGAGGAGGTATTAGGAAAATTAGGGGTGACCTTCACACCTCACCTATATAAAACCAACACTAAAATGAGGAAGAATTTGAAAACCAAATGTTTTCAATTCATTCAAGAATACAGGAGTTAAAATAGCAAAACAATCTATATTTACCTATCCCTCAGAGACTTTTCTCCTAACTTGAGAGAAAATAAAAAGAAAATGCTTTATCTAAGGGGAGTGGGGAATATATATAATCCCTTTGTATAAAAGGAGTAATCAAGGGTCAGAGTGATAGTACATGGGTAGGGCACTTGCATGTGGCAAACAAGAGCAGAGCCAGGAGTAACACCTCCAGACTGGCCACAAAATAAAAAAGAAGAGTGGTCAATGGGAACTTTGGGGGGCATAACTCCTTGGTTTGAGTCCATCACTTGAAACATGTTCCAAGCAGTGGGCAATAGTGAACATGATTTGAAAAGAATCCACGCGCGTGTGTATGTGTGTGTGTTTGTGTGTGTGTGAGTATGACAAAAGCATCTGCTAGCCAGAGTGCAAAACTCTGGTGCTTACTTGATTCCCTTTGTCTTTAATGTTGTCCCAGATCAGCTAAGTTCTAAAGTCTTCCTGGCTAAAAATATCTTTCTACTATGGTAGGTTTTATAAACAGAATCTCTAGGGCACCATTTGCCATCAAAGAATGACTTTTGTGGACAATGACTCTAGATCTTTGTTAGATGACAGGCTCCTAAATATATGTGACTTTGGTGGAAAGAGTGAAAAACCACTAGATTAAATAGAAGACAAGTTTAAAGATAGCTCTTGAGAACATAGATAGGATTCTGGTCTTTCAGGATGAATAGAGTATTAGTGGCATCATAAACCATTTGCTAGTTCCCTTCCTCCTTGAACCAGACTACCTATACCCAATCTAGATAGACTTGCTGTGTAAACCTTAACCTTCAAAATTATGTTGCCTTTCTCCTTTCTGCTGTCTTATAGAATTGCTCAAACCCTAATCCCCTTGCATTTAACTTCACTATTATGATTACTCATATTCTTCACCAAAAACCTTCAAGAAAGCTATTGTTTTTAAAGAAAAATATTAACAAATATTTTCCCATTTTCTAGAACTTTTAATTTTTCTAGTGTCTTCACTAATGTTTTAAATTGAACATTTTTATCTCTACTGCTACTACCTTCCAAGTCTATTCTTTACAGAACATATGATCAGTCTCTGTTTACTATGCACATACTCTTGTGCCAGAAACTGTGACTACAAGTATTTTTATATATTTCTTTACTTATTTGCTATAAAATCTAGTGTTCCATTCTGAACTTTTTAACTGAAAATAATCATATTTATTCTTGTAGATTTTTTGATCTAGTTAGAATTTTAGAGAAATAAACTAACTCTTTTCTAAACTTTGTTTCCACTATTATAGCCAAATAACAGTTTGGTACAGTAAGCCTTTTAAAATATCAGTTTAGGGTTTTTTATTATAATTGCTGTTTAATTAAAAGAATTTTAAGATAGTTTTCTCCCCAAGAACTGTAAAATAATATGCAGAAGAAAAGAAAAATTTCATTCAGAAATCCAGACGTTAAATCATGAGTTTGAGGGCCAGAGCAATAATACAGCAGGTAGAGTGCTTGCCTTGCACATCATGACCATTTCAATTTGATCACTGGTGTCCCATATGATCATCCTTGAGCACAGAGCAAGGAATAATCTCTCATCACTCCAGGTATGGTCCCAAAACAAAACAAACAAGCAAAAAACATGAGCTTGACTAATCTACATACTTATTTATACCATTGTTAAGTAGGCATTCATGATTTTTATTTACTTGAAAACATTTTTGTCCTTAGTAACTTTTTTCCTAAAGATAAAATAAAGTTATAAAATTAAAACACTTCAGTTACTGACTCAGTGGTAGAGCACCTGTGTGAGATCCTGGGTTAAATCCCTTGTATCTCTCTCTCTCGTTGTGCTTCAGCTCTCTCTCTCTCTCTCGTGCGCTCTCTCTCTCCCCCTCTCCTCTCCCTCTTTCTCTCTTTCTTTCTCCCTCCCTCTCCCTCTCATTCACCCCTCCCTCTCTCCCACTTTCCCCCTCATACACACAGACATATACACACACAGACACACACACACACACACATAAAACCATACTATGTCTATGTTCTCTGCAGTAAGATTAGCAATGGAGTATATACTTTTATTTTTAAAACTATAAGTTATAAGAGATTATTGAGCTAGCAGTAGACAAATAAACCTATAAAAATCAAACCAATGATTTAAATATGTAATGCAATTTCAGGTATTTTTATTATTTTTCCTTCAAAAGCTTTTTTCTACTTTTCTGACTATAATGTAACCAGACACTGTTATTTTCTGTCTCACAATGTAAAGGAAACTGTATGTAAAACACATTCTAGTTTCTACATGCTAAACAATCTCATTTCTTTTCCTTGTTGTTATATTGACTTTATTTATGTAAAGTTACCTAGCTGAGTTACCAAAAGAAAGAGATTAAAACAGTATTAAAGAATGTGCATAAAGCACTTATTTTTGTACTTTAAGTACAACGTTTTATAGAATTCTGTGCTTCTATCTTAACATGTTAAGTAAACTATACCATTTATTCATGGGGAAATAATCACTGTTTGGAAAAAATAAACATAATGGGTACTGTAGAATCATCAATTACATGAAATGAAAAACATGATACTGTGATGACAAGTATAATTCCAGGATGGTGAAATGATTTTAATTGTATTTTCAAATGCCATTATAATTTTTCAAAACATAACATGAGTTGTGTATTCTTTTCCTTTTCTGAAAATTAAACCCTTTCTGTGCAAATACTTAAATATTAATGACCCATAATTTCAATTTCCTTTTGGTGACTTCCTTCTATCTGCACTGCTTATAAAAGTTTCCTTCAGTGTATATTCAGACTAAAGGTAAATGAACGATCAAGTTTATTGTTTTCCATTCAGTAAAAACAATAAAGTCTTAGAAATATAAAATAATAAGAAAACATGGCTACAGAAAAGGTAAGTGGACTCTAATCTGCCATGGAGGCATGTGCTATCAGCAAGAATAGAGGTCAGCAAACTATCCTGAAAACCAGATCAAATTTTATAGGCTTTTGAGTTAATTATCATCGTATCTTCAAAATCTGAGCTAAAATGTTTTTTAAATTTATAAAGAGTTGCTCTTTTTAAGGAAGAATTTGCCACCAAGAGTATAGGTGTCCAGGCTGTTTCACTCGGGGTGCTCCAGAGAGGGGTGGGTAAGAGCCCGCCCCACCCCAAGGGACCCAGTCCCGGCAGCCGAAAACCTCCAGAACCCAATTGCCGCCACAATCAAGGCTGTTCCCCACATGCTTGGGCCAAGCCTCATGTACAACTGAACATATTCCTGGACTGCGAGGTCACATTTGCAGCCATCATAAGACACTCCCTGCCCATTCTCCATAAGTACCACACCACATTTGATGGGTTTCAAATTGTAGGCGACAATCATAGATATCTATATTTGTATATGTATAAATGCAGATATACATAGTTTCAGATATATATACAAA